CTTACAATAAAAGATGAATGTGTATCCTTTCACATCACTTATTTTGTTCAGAAAACATTCAATATTTATAGGTAAATATTGTATGCATAAAAAGAAAAATATATAGGTAAATCTCATAATCCTCAATGGGATTGATATTGCCCCCAAGTGTTAAAAATTGGTTCTTAGATGGATGGTTCTTAGATGTTAAGATGGTTTTTGACCCTCCTAAGGACTGCAGCCATACACAGATATATAACTTTTAAATTAAAAATAATGGGAGAAATGTGATTAACAATAAAATATACACCTTAAAGAGCAACAATTATAAGCAAAGGTTGAGAATGTGTACATATTTAAGTGTATATACATTCACCTTTATGTATACTATTTTGTTTTCCTTTGAACAAAAACAGGGAATATGATACTGTGCATTCTGTCTCCTGCTTTTTTTCACTTAACATGCTATGACACATGTTAATTATGGTTGATATGCAAATCATTATGGAGGTAAGGTTGGTAACATAAACAAGGGAAACAAGGGTTGGGAGTGGCAAAATTGAGATCCTATGATCCTTTGTACAACTTCTTTACATCAGCTTCAGTTGTTGACAGTTATTTTGGTGGGAACTTGGGTTCAGTATGATCATATTCTCTGATTTTTCAAGCAACAATGAAAGTCTGGATTTTTATGTGTAATCTGAATTTTAGACATTGACAATGAATTTTCTATGAGGGTCAACATGTGGGGCAAGCAAAACATGTCTGCATTAGCACACACTGCAGGCCTCCTCTGGACTTCTTGTAAAGAACCTAGCTCAGAAACGTCAATAGACCAACTGTGACAAAACCTTCTGCAACATAATTTCCATGTGATGTTTCCTGCACCCCAAGTCAGGCCTACTTGATTAGAAACTGTGGATCTACGCAGAAATCTGATTTAACAAGGAGTTTCTTATACAATTTGAAATTTGAGAATTAAGTATATAGCATTCTTTTGAACAGCGACATAACCCTGATTGAATTCCAAAGTATGAGAGTATTATACTTTGTTAAATTCATTTCCTTTTTAGTGATTTTTTTATCTTGCTTCCATATTTTTCTCTCTATTATAATACTGTATTAAATGCTTTTATGCGCTACTGCTTTTATTTTTGTAGGGTAAATTTCCCAAATGAGGATTATTGAGTCTAATTTTAGCATCTAAAGATATTTTACATTTTGGGGCCCAGAAGATATTGTAAACTTACTTCAAAAAGGTTTAAAAGTCACAATCCTACCAGTAATATACATGAGTGCCCCTATCCTAAAATCTAAATCTCTGGATATTAGAAACTTTCTTTCAATTTGATGAGTTAAAAATGCTCTTTATTTTTAAGTGTGCAGTTGAATGTCCTGATTTTTAGTGCAGTTTATATACATATAAAATATGCATATATTATATATATATATATTTTTTATCACATGTCTATGAGCTGTTTCTGTTTCCTCTCCTTGAAGTAGTTTACAGATATTCACCAGCTAACAATGCTAGTGTTGGGAATGGGAGAGGGAATGTCTACAGTGTCAGTTTCCTTGATACCCTTCTTACCTCCTTCTAGCCACCACCCTTCCCCCAAATTTCTGCTTCTCTTCCCAGTGAGAGTTCACTAAAGCCACTAACTAGCTTTTGCCATTCTGTTAGGGTTCTGTGTTTTCCTTTGGAATTATTTTCACTTACTCATTTCCTTTGCCAATTTTGTCATGAAATCGTCTTGTTTTTCTTATCTATTTGATGTAGCACTGTGCAAACTAGGCACTTAACAATTTGCCTTACAAAGTATTTTAATAAAACAAATTATAAAAGTTACTGTTTTACTTAATAACCTACCCAATTTTGAGTAAATCTCATTTGATTTTAATCACAGTAACCATTTAAAACAAGCAGCACCATTTTAGTTTGTTTCCTTTTTTAACTGCTTTTAGAAATTCACTTTCTTTAACAACATGCATTTTCAGCATAATGCCATAATAAGTTAACTGCAGAAAAGTCATTAACGAATACTATTTTACTTTATTAAATAACAGCAAAGGGATTATAAAGATTTAAGTAGTTTTATGCTCAGGTTAAGAACTTTCCAAACTCAAAAATGGACTTTTGGGGAGGGGGAAATTTTCTCTCAAAAGCGCTTATTTCAAAATCCAAATGGGATTTCAAAATACAAGTAAATAAATGTCAAAACCTCTTGGCCTCTGCTCTGCCATTCTATGCCTGAACTCCTGCCAAAATTAAATTTTCCATTCAAGAAGGACTGGCATTTACTAAACTGATTTTTAAGAGACATTCTCAGAAAGCAGTGGAAACTTTGTGCAACTTTGTACGTTCCTCTCTTGTAGATACAACAACTGTCTCTGCAGATATATTTCATTACTGTACATTTTCTGAAAAACAAATTTTCAGCCCTTCCACTGGTCTTCATCTACTGGGACTATGGGTTTTTCCCAGTGCCAAGCATAGAAGACACAGCTGCTAAACTAGGAGCTAGTGTCTCCCTGAGTATAAAGGCACAGAAAGGACAGAAGGGACAGTGTCTCAGTAAGTATCAATGAAGAGAAAGGACAGACGAGAAAGTGGGAGAAAGAAAAGGGCACGGCTCAATCGCTCACACTCAAGAGGGACACGTCAATCTCCACATTTCATGCCATTTCAGCAAAACAACTCTCAAGAGACTAGCTGCTTATTCACTCAAGAACATCACTTTCAATAACTGTGATGATCAAGTTGTTAAAAGACACGAGCTCGTTGAAAGAATCCAAAAAGGGGAAATATGAAGCACCCCCATCCCCACGCTAGTTCGAGTGAAATGGGAGGCTCATCGCCGCGCAGTGCAGGAGGAGTCCACACCGAGGAGGGAGGAGGGCGGGGGCACAGGGGGACCTGGGAGGAAGAGGATTTGAGAAACGAAGACGAAAACTGTCAGCCAGAGAAAACCTGCAACATTCTTCAAAGAAGTCTTAAAAAGCTAACAAGACACTGTGGGATAGATCAAAAGTAGACATGAAAATTACAGAACGTTAAGTGAGAAAAATGAAATCCATCTGCAATCGTACAGTTTGCACTTCCAAAAGCAAGAACTTTACGAAGCAGCAAGGAAAACTTCTAGTCGTTCCTTTAAGTCTTCCTTCCCATTTTCATTTTTTTCCCCTCTCTTCTTGCGCAGCTTTTCTCGTAGGAAGTACACCCCGGAATTATTGCCCATGTTGAGCCTTCCTTTAATTTTGTACTTTTCTCCCCTCTCTTGCTGTTACTCCCAGACCCCAAGCTCCTTTTCCTCTTTTAGTGTTTGTTTCGGGGACGGGACAAAGAGGAGGCAGCGAAGCAGAAAAAAAGTTTTGTGGTTTGGGAAACTTGGGCCTTTGTTGTGTCATTTCCCCTGCCCCTCCACGCCCCCATTCACGTGACCCAGAAAGGCCGGAATTTTGTGAATGGAGCCGAAAGGTGGCTGCGGGGGCGGGCGGGACTCCTCCCCCTTCTCTGAAGCAGCCAATCTCCTAGCTGAGCGCTGAGGGGTCAGCAGTAAACAACAGTGGGCTGGGAAGATACGGTTCGTGATTGGCTGCGAGGAGAACCTCGCGGGGACCTAACCCGAAGCTCCGCCCCCTCGCGGTTACCCTGGATACTCGTCCGGCTCTGGCTGCGGAGAAGGTCTTTGGAAACTGTTGCTCAGATTACAGGGGCTGAGTTATTCCAGGAGGACACAGGGGTGGGACACGCTTTTTACTGGGCCCCTGTCTGCACCCTCAGAAAGGACCCAAGAGCTTCACTGCTCCAGCCTAGAGGCACACCCTCCAAGGCCCAGGTTAAAATGCAGTTCCCGCTAAAAAGGCGTTAGGTGAGCGCGTTGTGAACGGTCTGATTCACTAGTTTCAAGAAATGTGAAATGCACGGAGTGTGTTCTTGCTGTCCATTCCTACTGGCTGTGTCCCCAGTAAAAAGTGTTGTGTTTTTGTTTTTTTGACAGAGATCTCTCCTCTCTTCCAAGGATCCGGAGTGGAGTGGAATGTTGTGCGCTCACACTCCATTTTAATGTGCCCCATAACGTTCCATTTAAGGAAAGAAACTTTCAAATAGAAATTAAGAACTGCAGCACGTCTCCCAACGGGCAGAACAGCTGCCGGAAACGTCCTTTGGTCTCTGGCTCTGGTCGCCACCAGGATCACAAGTGAATTTTACCACCCTTGAGTCCCGGATCCCATCCCCGCGGCCTCCTGGCCCCTGCGGGACCGTGGCTTCTTAAAGGGACGCCTCCCTGTTCCGACTCCCATGGGAGTGTCTGGGCAAGTGGCTTCAGAGCTGTAGCCCTCACTTCTTAACATCCTCGCTATTGTCCTTGAAATCCGAGCGTCCTCAACCCCGGGCTCTGGTTGTTTAAAAGCTCGAGAGGAAGTGGAAGCGTCAAATACAGTAAGTGACACCCTCCGCCTCCGTGTATACATAACAAAAGCTCAGGAAACGTGTGGGTCCCTGGGATATCCGAGCCATCCCATCCCCTGCCTCCTCCTCCCCACCTCCGCCGTGGACTGGGAGCGCCTCTCTCCAAGGCACACGTGGGGACGCAGTTAATACTTTCTCCCTGGCTTGCACTGCGGTCCTGCCACACAACCTCCCCTCATCAGCAGTTCCTCTGCTTCTCCTAGGTGTTTTCTCCGCAGTCTTTATGTTTCTGTCCCAGATCTAATTTTAGTTGAGAACCACTGGTAAACAATGTTTTGATACACCATCATGGTGGGTGTTGAAACCTGGGACAGCAACTTGGGCCAAAGGCAGAATGGGAAGGGAAACGGGGAACGAGGTGGGTTCCTGGTCGGGGGAGAATGGCTGGACATCTTGGGGGGTTGGGAGATAAGGAGATGCGAGGTTTGTGGATCGCGCCTCGGAGTCGATACATGCGCCGCACAGCAGCGCTTTAAGGGAATCAGCCCCAAAGTGGACCAAGCACACCGCTCAGGCGACCCGGCGACTCGATGCACACGGCTGCGGCATCCCCAAGCGCCTAAACAATACGCCGCGGGTCAGGGAGGAAGTAGGTTTCCGCGGTGGCGTTTCCAGCCTGGGGACCCGGCGCGGGCCAGTTAAGCACTCTCCGGGGCCGAGGGGCTCGGGAGACCAGCGGGCAGGGGCCGAGAGCCGCCTGATTGACAGCCCGAAATCTGATCTTGTGAAAGAGACGCGGAGCCAATGGGAGGCAGCGATCCATCAGTTTGGATTGGAGGCCCCTGGAGGAGAAGTAGAGGAAAAACCACCGAATTGAGCTCTGTCAGAGGCGCTTTCGGCTTCCAAGGGGGAAGTGCCGGGCAATAATTAATGTTTTTATTAAATTTGGAGGGAATTTTTTGCAGCCGTTCGCCCAGCGTGGCCTTCAGGTGGGTCTTTTCAACAACTTTTTATGTCTCTCCAGATAATTGCATGGTTGTGGGTCGCCAAAACTATCCTTATGAAAGAGGTGTCTCCGTCTCTTCAGTCCCGTTAGGTGCAAAGCAAGTCTCGTTGAACGCCATTGCTAGTTTTGCACACGTTTGCGAATCCGAGCTGCCCGGGGTACACCGACCGCGCAGGGAAACCTCGAGAGTGTAAATAAATACATCGCCTCTTGTTCGGATTTTTGCTACTACCGAAAATATGTAAATTGTGAACTCTTTTGGCTCTCTTTGGATCCAGGTGAAGGAGGCGGTGTAGGGGAGGGTTATTTTTGTGAATGGGACTGTCGGAGGGTAATTAGCTATGCAAATTCAAGCGCTTCATTCATGATTTTTTTTTAAAGCCTAAAAGCCATCTTGTTCCCCTCTAGGTTGATAGAAGTCCAGATCCCGAGGAAATCTCCAGCTAAATGCTCAAAATATAAAACACTGAGCTGAGATTTGCGAAGAGCAGCAGCATGGATGGATTTTATGACCAGCAAGTGCCTTACATGGTCACCAATGTGAGTGATCAGTTTGAAAGTTGCTGTTTATAAACTTGACTCCGACGGGGGTGGGGAGAGGGAGAGAGGGAGGAGGGAGGGGCACGGGGGTTGGGATTGCAGATACTTATCTGCTTTGTTGCCACTGTAGGGCGACTCTGCCTCTAGAAGCCCAATCTTCAAAATGAGCTTACCTTTCAGTGATTTGGATAAGGCATAGTTTTGTTTTTAAGACCCTTTTTTCTGGTTAAAGTGCCCAAGATGAGTGGAAGAGGAGGTGCAGGGCAGCAGCAGCTGCTGCACTCAAAGTTTTTGGCTGGGTTTGTCTGCCACATTGAAAAGAATGAAGTTGAGACAAATGCTGACACTTTTTGTTTATATGGGGTGTTTGTTTCTTCCCTCCCCCTTATTTTCTCTCTCTCTTTTTTCATTTCTCCACTCTTTTTGCTTTGGGGGGGGACTGAGAGAGAATAAAATTCACTGTGTTTTAATTTAGGGTTGATCCAACCTAAAAACAACTTTAAGTGTAATTGCTTAATGTTGTTTTGATGCTGAGATACCATGAATATATGATTGATTAAATAGTGTGTTTGTTAGGATCGGCACTGGGGAGAACTCTCTGGTGTTGAGTTCTCAGCATAAGCTTTCACTGTCAAATAAATGCAGAAGATGAGTATTAGAACTGATATTATGGACTTTTATTTTTCTATCCAGAGAGAGGATCCAGCAGACTTATATTATGTATGCATGTGTTCTGTTTTGTGTGTGTGTGTGTGTGTGTGTGTGTTTGTGTGTGGACATCTGAGGTTTACATTCTTTTAAAGGATTTTATTTTTCCCTTTGTAGAGTCAGCGTGGGAGAAATTGTAACGAGAAACCAACAAATGTCAGGAAAAGAAAATTCATTAACAGAGATCTGGCTCATGATTCAGAAGGTGAGGTTTGATTTTGGGCTGAATCCCCATTCTTTCGCTACACTTTCCATCCTCTTAAAGAAGAGGAGCACTTCAATCTTACCTTAAAAATAATAAACTCTGAATTATTGAATTTACCAAGACTTTGACTTGGAGCAATTTACATAATGTGACACTTTGCATTGGAGAATATTTTAAGATCCTGTCACAAACTAATGAAAGAAGGAAACAAAGCCTTAACAGTGACATCCTTCTTTTAATCATTCTTTTGTGTTTAAATGCCCATGTTCATATGGCATATAACTAATCCACACACTAAGATAACGATTTACAAATATCTAATATAGTGGGACAAATTCAGCAGCTATGTACACGACTTATTTTTTTCTTTCTACTTTATTGCAAGTTAAACAAGATTAATGATTGATTTTTCCATCCCCTTTACACTAATACCATGTACTATTATCAAAATTTTCAAGGGTTATTTTGATGACTACATTGTGAGGTCATAATGTCTTGCTTATAGGCCTTAAAGTGTTCACTGAATCATACTTAAGGCCTAATTAATAATTATAATACTACTTGGGAAATTAAGTTGCAGATTCTTTTTATGAACTGTTAGTGGGAAGTCAATATATTATAAATTACATTAGACACATGTGGGCATTCATTATAAACTTAATATGTTTAGACTTAATTATTAAAGTTCAGTTTGCACTTTTAATTAGATAAACTGAATTCTGAAACTTCCTCAAATCTTAATACTTCCTGGACACCTCCCTCCATCCTAAACATGACAGTACACAGTTTTGGACATGGTGATAACCTGGTGCCAAAGGATTATCTGTTTTTTACTTTTTCGTAAATCTGTCCATGTAGATATTTTCTCCTAAAAACTTGTTTTAAAGTAGTTCCTTTTAGTTTTGAGGCATTAAACTTGAAAACATAGTACTTTGAGAATTAAACCATGTACTGTTGTTACATTTTATATAAGATTCAGAAAATTTAAACAAAATGCTTTTCAGTCTTTTAAATCTTTCCCCTGCTACTATTTTAGTGAGAGTTGATTATGTTTCAGAAAGATTTTAGTGACTAGACACACCTTCACCTCAGCCTTTTTGTCACTCTTGATGTATTTGTATTGCTTGGTTCCCTGAGCTTATTTCTTAAGCCGTTTGTTTAAAAGGAAATAGAAAAGATGATTGACTTATGATTTAGTTGACAAAAAAGAATTTCTTCAAGTATTGCTTAATAGGCATCAAAGGCAGGCAAGATTATTGAGATATTTAAGTTATGAATGTTGTTTAATGCTGCAAATTGAACTATATTTAATAACAATTTTATGACACACATTTGCACTTAAGGAAGACTAAAGATTTGCATGTCTCATGTTTATGTCTTTGGCTTGTTTTTTAGAACTCTTTCAAGATCTAAGTCAGTTACAGGAAACATGGCTTGCAGAAGGTAAGGCAAAAATTGCTTTTAAGGGGCGGGTGGTGAAGCAACTCTAGAAGGGGGGAAAAAAGTCCTGAACTTGCTGTCTTAATGTTCAGCCCAATTAATTGAGCTCTAAAAGAGCCACCTCATGTGTCATGCATACATTAGAGCCTCTGATGAGTTTGTCTTTGGGGACTCTGGGGCTGCACTACCCAGTGTCATCACAAATTACCAGGAGAAATTGCTTCCAGCTCACAATCACATCTGCTTTTGGCAAGAACTAATGCACCAAGACTTCAAGTTCTAAGCCTCTGTTCAGATTTTAATTGCAATTGATCAGGTTTATATTATTGTACCTCCAGAGACCTCCTAGAGCCAGAACCCGGCTGGCTTGCTGTTTCCTTTAGAGCAGCGCATATCATTATTTGGTGTTCTGGTGGAGGACTTCTCTGATGGCAGAAATTAGTTTCTCTGGGTTCATCAGGACGGGATGCTTCAAGATTTAAGTGCAAGCGTCTTCTTTCCACCTTGTTCACAACACAGAACGTTAGGTGTGTATCAGATACTTAGGAAATCTATGGGTTTAAAATAAATCTTTGGGAAATTTGAGGATTTTAAAAATGTTTTTTTCTGTGTTAATATTTATGTGATATTTGTTAAAATTGACCTTTGCTATTTTGTCACTTTTATTAGGATTTATTTGAATACAGTAAGGAGATATTTAAAGGGATTCATTTTATTTTGGATTATTTCTTCATAAAATGTTGTGGTACAATCTATTATATCTTTTACTGTGTGCAACTTTATTTATGAGAACAATGAGATATTGCTTCAGTCAAGCTTTACAGAACTTCATAAATGCCTAATATTGAGGGACTTTTGTTTGCATTCATAATTTGAAATTTTTCTTTTGGATTTGCATAAAGACATGAAATACTAATTTTATGATGTGTTTTGTGGGAAACGCAAAGGGAAAATTATAGATAAGCCTTGAGGATAACTGTGTTATTTGTGTGTTCCCATTATATGGGAAACATGCAACTTTCAGAACACATTTTTGAGGCGGTTAAAAGGAGAGAGAGGGTCTCTTTAAAAGGAAGCCAGGTGTTGCTGGAGCTACTTTGAGGCACACTGATGTGTTCTATCTGGTGGTCTTGAATGCAGTTGATCAAGTTGCTGTTAGCATGTAAAACAAGTTTCTTTGTTTTGCTGATATTCTAGTTCTCCAAAGAGCTTTTTCAATCTTTATCAATCTTTTAAGTTAAATAGCTTTCCTAGTAGTCCTTTGAACGGGTGATTGTATTTGTATGTTAATGAAAGGTGAGTATTAATGAAAGTTTTGGTTATATTTAAAGGTCATTTTGCTTGTCTCTGTAAATGAAACATTGTAATAGATTACTTATTATTGCAACATAAGCCATATATTCAAACATAACTTTTTTTTGGAAAATTTGCACCGAGGCTCATGTATTAACTTTTATCTATTAGTTTTGCAAAGTTGAAGGTTGTAAGGATATTACATTTAGAGGGGAATTTATTTGCTTATCCAAAATAACTTAAAATATCTATTTTAATTGTTCTGGAAGATTTTCTTAAGATGTTTAAATCTCATTGATTCCAAGTCAGTACACTTGCTGGCAGATTTTTGAATGTGCATAGTAACTCTGTTTCTGGAATTGTAAAATGTGGAATCTGTGACAGATTCTTACTATTTTATAATCAGTTTCAGTTTTTTTTTTTTTTTTTTTTTTTTTTACTTTTGACTTGTTTTGTGTCTTGTAACTCGGATAAGTGATTTGAATATTTTATCCAAGTTTATCTTTTAAAACTCTGCAGGGAATAGTTTTACCGGGGATTATTAATGTACCTGTAAATCAAATCTGACGATTTAGCTTTACATAAAATAAACCTAGAAAGTGACCTATGCATTTGGAGGAACATGGACTTTTACTTAGAAAAGAATTCATAAGCTTAAGTAAGTTCAAGAATTAATCATGAGTGTTTTACTGAATACCCAGGTGGGCTACTATTTACAAACTGTGGATAAGTTTGCATTTTAGAACAATTTAAACATTTTCAAAATAGCTTACTTTAATTTAGCTAATCATGATGTAAACAAAAAGTTGTTAATGTGATGTTTAAAAACCTAATGGTGAGAAAAGATTTTTTTTGCTACTTGTAGCAAGACTTCACATTCATTTTTGTTTTTAGAAATTTAATGTATTATTTTGCACTAACATTTTGACTTGACTTATCCCATGTCTTGAATAATATTAGCTAAAAAGAGATCCTCAAATTACCCCAGTTTATTTGTAGCGAGATTTGTCCATTTATGTCCTTCTGGACATCCAGAAATTAAAACATTGCCAAATTGGCAGACTCTGGACCGTTTATATATTTCTTTTCATAATGCTCATAGCCAAGAAAGTGACCATGGAATTTTAAGACATCTTGACCCTTTTAAAAAAGATCATTGGCAATTACCCAAGTTTCTCCCATGAGTTAGAATCCCACTGGGAAGTTAAACAGGTCTAAAAATCTTCTTAGACATGAGAGCCAAGTTAGTTGTAATGTGTCATAAGATGATTTTTTAAAAATTATAAAAGTCCCCAAGTACTGGGGAAAATATATGTATTTTAGCATGTTTAATTTATTTTTTGCTGTAAGAATTTTTATAAATTTGACACAAAGTGCAACATATGGATTAGTTGTGGGTGAATTATTGTGGATTATGAAATGTGTTTTATCTCTAAGGAGAAGTATGTATAGATACAGCAGGACTATTTGAGAGGAGGATGGAACAATTCATTAAAATCCTCTCTAAAAACACACTTGCATTTTCCCCAAAAATTATTTTCCATACAGGAATCTAAAATATGTTTGTGAAGAATATAACTACATTAACATCACTTTCCAACTACTAACGTGCAATTTAAAGTTTTTTTGGGGGTCAGCATCTGTACCCCAGTTTTAAAAAATCATCTTATTCTGAAGGAAATTGAAAAGCTCATGTTTTCAATGACCACAGTAGCAGTTAAAATAAAAAAAAAAATCAGAGAATATGCCAATTTAAAATTTTACCTTAGCTACTTTATATTATAATTTTACTATGTACAATTTTTTATTGAATCTTTGTCTTTTGAATTAGATCACTACTAACGGAAAGCAATTGCAATTATTTTTTTCTATGAAATAATGAGTTCAAATAGCAATCCTATCAGTATCATGGTAATGTATTATTCTTAACAACCTAAAAGTCATAGTTAAAATGGAGTCTTGTGGGGGGGGGAGAAATGGGGGGACAGGAATAGAAAGATGAGAAAAATAGAGTTAAGAAAGAATTGCATTCTTCTAAATTTATTTACTAAAGCTTACCTACTAACACAAAGAGAAACTACTTTTCAGTATAGATCTCTTGTAAGTATATAGTTACTCTATGGACTTTACTTTGTTGTGGGGATTAGACTTTTTTTTTCAGGTTCCCTTTAGTCAGTAATATTAAGAAAAAAGTCAACAGTGATTCTCTATCATGAGAGTAAATGCTTTTTAATGGTCTAAGTCAAGTTTAATGCCGCCACCACATTTCAAGTCAAAGGTTTATCTCCAAGAGCAAGCTTTCTACACCCAAGGTTATTAACTCATGCAAATACCATTTCTTTTTCCTTTTGGTTTTATGTGACTTTCCAGTAACAGTCAAGTTGACTTAAAAGTGGATACTGTCATTATTTTCTTCTCAGTTCGCCTTAAGAATTGATGCTGAATTTATATTCAAAATCATTTTTGTTATCTTTTAAATAATATGTGCTATTATTACCATGTATAATGGCATCCACAATACACAGTAGTCATAATACACTCATTCTTATTTTTCAAATATTCTACTATATCTTTTTTAAGTGGAACATAAAATTGGATACGTTCTCATGAATTTTACCCCCCATGTGGTACCGTAAGGAATAAAGCCTTTAGAAACTACATTATTTGATGTAGTTCACAAAAAACAGGAATCAAGAATTAAGTATTAAATGACAGAAGTCTGTACAATGTCTTAGAATTGAACAACAGTTATTCCATGTGTATATGTTGGGAGGTGGCTACCACCCCACTCTTTGTTATACCAGGAAAGACTCTAAAATATGAAATAAATACTTCTCTTTTGAACTTGAGTTAAAGATAGCAGTTAGAGTTAGTATATTTTATTTCTAAATATTCATTGGAATTGTGTGAACAATTTTTCATCCTTTTTTTAAAATTGAAAAAAAATTTAATAGAAAAATTGAATTTGGTGTAGTATAGTGTAATTTTTCCAGAGGGTCATAATAAGTGGAATATTGCTGAGCTTTTCTTGTTCAGTTATAGGAAATGTCTTGCCCTTTATAGTATAACTTTGTTCCCTTTAACTTGTGTATAATCTTATAATTAAAAAATAATAATAATAAGAGAGTCAGACCTCTGTAGCATTAGAAAAAGTATTTTGCTAGAGACAACAGCTAGTTGCTGTGAGATTCCCTTAAGTTTTCATTGCTGGTCAGTTATAAGGATTGAAGCTGATTTGAGACACAAGACAACTAAAACTTTACTGTTTTCTTTCTTTTGGAGTCTATAGACAGAATGTCTTTATCATGTATTTAAGGCATGGGGAAATAGTCTCCTTTTTTTGTGTCTGTTTAACGATGTATGTACTTCTACATTAATTAATGCTTTTACTTTGGTACAGTCATTTTAATGTTGAAAGCAGATATGGTATAAAACTAGGCTTAGTGGACTCGTGATTATTTTGTTCCATCGCCAGTAGCTACATTTTAGGATTAAATAGAATGCCACTGTGAGAAGGCTGATTTTTTTTTTCTTGTTTTATTTAAGACAAAATTTCAAAATTTTTCAGAGAAATTGTTTCTAACCCTTTGATTCAAAGAGAAATGCTGCAAAGTTCAACAATAATCAACAATATTCTTATGATAAAAAATGGAAAACTAGACAAGAAATATAAGTCATTTCTTTAATAGTGTTTCTTTTTTCTTTCTTCTTTCCACTCTTTCTTCTGTTCCTCTTTCCCTCCTCCCTTAGTTTTGGACATGCAAATTTCTGTAACAACTTACCCTTTAAAGCAGCATGGGATATATATATATATGAGTTTGTATATGCATTTAACTTTGTAAACTTGTCATTTATTCCAATGTGTTCCTTTAATAGATCTGAGCTCTGAGACAGAGCAATAAAATCGGTGTGTTTATATTTCAAGTTCAAGTTTACTTGCTTTAGCTCTCTGGAAGGGTGTGACATGAAAAGATTGTGGTTGGGCCACATGGCTCATGCTGGACTGTGTTTTTGTGAATGGAGGCAGAACTCCAGTTCTGCCTCCTTGTCTTGAGGAATTGCTGAGGAGATCAGCTGTCTCATTCACGGGCAGAAAGAGTGAGTCATACATCTTCTGCCTTGTTTGGCTCCAGGTCATTGTTACAGTGGATAGAACTGGTTTTAATTAAATATTAACCCCTTTTATACTTGACATTTGTTTTATTTGTAATTTTTCCACTTTTTCCCTAGCTTTAGAAGAAAACCTAACAAGCACCCAGTGTGTAAGAATAAAGGTATTTTTGCATGCCTGCAGCCTACCTTGGAAAACTTTTAAAGGCTTACCTTTTCCTAAGTAATGATGATTATTTCATTTGAAAGTTAAAACACATAATAACGGCAAGCTATAGTTAAAATTGCCCACCCAACCCCCCCCCCGTGATGCTTGTTAGTTAAGAAAGGATATTAAAATTAAATATGAGGGCTAATGAATCTGTGATGTGCAGGTCATGATTAATATTTCTGTGAATTTCTTTCTCATGATATGTATTGCTGTGCAGTAAAAAGAGTGAAAATAGAAAAAACAACTTTGGATAATAATCTAGGTAAAGCAAATAGCTGAGAGTGCAGAAGTGCCCTTTTAAAGCTGAAATCCAGAGACTTGATGGCAACTTGTCTATTAACGTGCAATGAACTGACAGAGCCACTCCAGCTATTACCAATAAAATCCACATGCTTAATCTTCTTGAAAGCTTTTTATTGGTCTTTTGGTATATACTTTCTCCTTTCTCCTTTCTTCCTCTTCCCCTTCCTCTATAATTACAGAGTGTGGGGAAACATTTTCATTCCCAAAGGTGATAATTTCAAGCATAATTTATAATAGTAGTGAAATAAACATTTCCTTCTTTGGGTTGACCTCCATTGTTAATTTTCACCTTTGGAGTTGGTATGATTTGCTATAAATTTTTAGGCAGCTGTAGTTTGCTCCTTCACAGAATTCCCCTGAATTGAAGAAAAAAAAAAGTATGATACAAGTGTGGCAATACTTTGTCATATTTTCCTTGCCTGGATCCAACTTGTGTTTTTAGTTAACTGCTTTCCTTTTACTCTAACTTGAAATTAGAGGTATACTTAAACTTTTGTCTATTTAAGTAGCGTGCTGCTTCATTTGGTCTGTTCAGTTTCTTAAGATTAGCTTCTGTGAAAATGTGAGTCATATGTTTTTTGTTAAAATTCTGTAATATGTTCAGGCATAAGTGTGAAGTATTTATTCAGTATGTTAAGGAGTTAGACCTGAAATGGCAATTCTTATTCTTACTTGTTACAAATTGTTGGTGTGCAGCTATTTCCTGTATATTTGTGAGATATGACTTCTAGATTCTTTCACTCTTAAAATTTTGCCTTTTATTCCTCATACTTATCCCAACACACACCATACACTCATCAGTGATTTTTATGCTACTCTGGAAGTGACATATATTATGAGGTTGCAAATTTGTCTTATGATACTACAAAAAAAAATTAGGCCCCTAGGACATTCATACCAGCATTTTTAGTTATAAACATATAGCTTTTGTTACTCACCAGCTATTCTTAACTATTCCTGTAAAGAGATATTGCATTTTTATTAGATTATTGTAAATGTTGGCTTTTTAAAGTCACAGTAATTGTTGTGGTTGATACTTTTGCATCATAATAGTTACATCGTTTTAGCTGTTAATTTAGAGGAAACGCAAACATGTGGATATCATGGCCAAAAGAGGCAGGATTTGATTCTGTTTACTTGCTATTATGTATTAAATATCTATTAAAAACACTAGTAATTTTTTGGTGTGAGTACTTATTTTAAAGTATTCTCTTTAAATTCATAATTTTGAATCTATGAAAAAAATTTTATTGCAATGTCAGAAAATCTGTTGTGTTAATAGCTAAGGGAATGGTAATGTACATGTTTTAGCTAGGTTTTTTTCTTTCCTCTCTGGCAGAAATCATTAGAAGTACAAATTGGGCACTGTAATGATTGAAGTACTTTTCTGCATGTGTCTTGAAAGACTAAAGTGGGTGGGAAAACTAGGAAGAAGAAAATAAGTATCATTTCCTGAGCAGCTGGCATTGTGTTTAGACTATTTCATTTAATTCTGACCCCAAAACTTGCATTATCAGTATTAAGCTTATGAGTAAATGCAGTTCAAAGAGGTTTGTTACATTACCCAAAGTTAGACAGTTAGCATGTCATAGAACTGTGACGTTCATAGACTTTAGAGTTGTTGCCCACAGTGTCAGATATTAGTGGAATATGAAAATAAAAAGATTCTTCCAGTATAGGCTGACCAACTAGGCATCACTTATAACTTGAAAAGTTTTTAATTTGTTTGATTTCATTTAGTGGCAGAAATAGAGTGGGTCTTTAATAAGGATAAATCATGGAGTCCAAAAGAAAATTGTAAGAAAACAGCCAAATGTTAAGCTGCAAGTATTTTTATAGTAGGCAAGACTATTCTTGGATAGTTATGCTTTTAATAATATAAATTTTTTTTCAATGAAATATTTCTCTTTTTAAAAAGATGCCATTAGATAAACTAGTAAAAATAAGCATAAATTTGGATGTTGTATTCCTTTTTTATATAGAATTTTTAAATGTTGAATTGTTTTTTATATAGGTTTTTTCTTAACTCATTTAATTACCAACATGAAACATTTTTAACAGAGACTTTTTATTTTAATAAGCATTCCTCATACAGAATAGGCTCATTTCAAAGAATTAATTGACATCAGTTTTAATATGACTTGTATGGATAGAAAAGTTTCAGTATTACATAATGCAATAAAGTAATACTACTAATCAGTTCATAACTAAAGTTAATTAGTATGATAATCCATTATATTTTTACTGAATTAAAAGTAAGCTAACTGCTACATTATGTATGTGCATGTGTGTGTATATTTGTGTGTGTTTGTGAAGTTTATTTTAGTAATGTTCTGTCCATTTGGAATAGGTTATTTCAATGTCTAAAGCAACTGTGATGGAAACATTTAGAAGTGAAAAACTGCACTTGTGTTTTGATGGTTGCTGAGTACATTACTTCTTTGCCATTCAGTATTTTTTCTTTACTAAAAATAGGAAAGTCATTTGACATTGGGACTGATGAGACAGTGATATTCTTTTCATTAGTGCTGAATTGTCGCCAGGAAAATACTTTGCATGAGAAGATTGTATTTGTTTTATTGTTTATTATTTTTATGAGTATGAATATAATCATTGAAATGTAGTCCTATATCATATAGGATTCAAATCAGGACACTTCTTTCATTTTAAAATCTCTGTAGCATACTTAGGCCAAGGTTAGAGCATACATTTTGAATTATGGTGTATTTCGCATGCGATGGAACATACCAAAAGCAGATATTTCTAACACAGCATAGTGGTGTATGTGAGAACTACTCATCATTTAAATAACTGTATGGTAAATTTAGATGATCTGCTTAAGCACTGGCAGTGAGTGAATTGAAATACCTTTTACTCCATTCTTGAGGGAAAACAAAACAAAACAAAACAAAACGAAAAACTTCAGGAAATAGAAATCCCGTAACTCCTTTTGTTTTACATCTCTTTTATTTCCATCTGCCAAGTGAAACTCAGAGGGACTACGCCTGCCATTGTCATGTTTCTGACACATATGTGTTTCCTAGTTGATATCAGTGATCCCCTTCTGTTTTCCCTCCTAAGTAGTGCTGTCAATACTATTTTAAGTAGGAGCTCATTGGCAAATAATCACAGTTTTGATCTCAGCCTAAAAAGATCGTACTTGACAGATTTTGCTTGACATTCCTTATGCCCTGGCAGTTTTTCTCTTAATTTTTTAAAAAATTTTTTTTTCTTCCTCAGCTCAGGTACCTGACAATGATGAGCAGTTTGTGCCAGACTATCAGGCTGAAAGTTGTAAGTATAGTATGACTCATCTCTTGTATTTGTCGTTCTTGTTTCCTTCTTTCTCTCTGGTTGGTTTCCACTTCTAGTGCCTGTTCTTGCATTGTGCCAGTGCCTTTTTAGCTTACAGGCATGATGTGATTTGATTTGTCAGGTTGTGACATCAGCAGAATCCTGGTATTTTGAGCAGAATCCTTGTTTTCTATATATCCAAGCAGAGCTCCAGGTAGTAGGCAAGGAAGACTGATTTGGTCCGAAGATGGTCCTGTTCTTCACATTTTGTAAATATCCTTAGAGAGAAAACAGGGTGTGATCTAGGAATGTGCAAGCGTTTACTTCCAGTTTGCCAAACATGTTCACAAAGAGAAGTCTGGATGCTGATGGGAGGTAGTGAGCGTTAAAATTCATATGAGATTAGTTGTTATATAACTGTTAAAAGATTCTGGACCAAACATTCACTGGCTTTTTGTACTATTTTACATTCTTGAACTGTCACCTGCTTTGATTTAATTAATAGCCTGAAATTTTCTGCTTCCTGGTTGCAGTGACACGAATGAAAGTAGCCACTGGCTTCTCTTAGGGTCCCTTCTGTGTTCTGTTTCCTGAGCCTTGCTCCAAGGTTTGACTGTCGGAGGATATATGAGGAGCTATCTGTGGGATACTTATCCTCTGTAATCGCAGGGTGAGCTGTTTGCCCATACAAACAAGGTTGCTTCGGGGTTTACTACTTTGCCATTCTACCAGCTAACAGCAGCTGTTGACTTGAGGAGCAAATAGTAAGGAAAAAGGGTATCAAGGCAAGGCCATCTTGATTATGAAACTGGCTAATGCATTTTTGTTCTATTAGCTATATTTAAAACTAGTTTGTTTCATTTTTTCAGACCATTGATAGTGTGAGAGGAGGCAATATCAACAGTAACAAGAGATGCTTGATACCTTACAGCTTTTCAAACCCATATTTTCACACCTTAATATTATAAGTCTAATACAAAACCTACATTACTTCAAGTGACAGATGTATACAGGCAATACTTGAAACTTTATGTTTGGTATTTTAAATTTCTCAGGTATCGAGGGTTGTGACAGGTTTCTTCCAGATTCTTTCCCATGTTACGTAAAACAGCTTGTTTAAAAATACATAATGCAGCTTGTTTAAAAAATTATCGTGGTAAAACATATATACCATAACATTTGCCATTTTAACTATTTTTAAGTGCACAATTCAGTGGCATTAAGTACATTCATGTTGCTGTACAACCATCACCACTGTTCATCTCCAGAACTTTTTTATCATCTCAAACTGAAACACTGTACCCATAAAACAATAATGACCTGTCCCCCTGTCACTAGTTCCTGGTAACCACTGTTCTGTCAGCTTTATTTCTGAACTGAGAAGACAATTAGGATGCTATTGGATGTCTGAATACAGGCATTTGACATATGCCTTCAAGAAACCTATTCAACAATGATATAGACCTTAATTAGTGACCCTTAGAAATACTCCCAGAAGGACAATTGCTAAGGACAATGGCCAAGGCAAGGCCTCTCCTTTATTAAAGTGTGGGAAGAGAACAGTCCTAATTCAATCACTTTCCTTCCTATGAGGCACTTGAATTCTTCTTTCTAAAAGCCATACTCAACATCTGAGTGAAAGAATGCATCTCCTTGAGTCATTTTACATCTGAAGAAGTTGGTAATTCCAATACTACACCAATTGTCAGAATAAAACAAACTACCCAGTGATAATTATACTCGTTTTCATATTTGACCTCTTTTCATCTTTTCTTATTCTTGAGAATTTAGACTCTTTGAATTCTGTTCTCTTGGTCACACTGGTGTGATTTTTTTCCTTTCTCTTTTTACTCTTTTGATCACTCCTTCTCACTCTAGTCTTCTTAACCTCTTTGTATATCTCTTCTTTGCTGGGATTCTGTCTCCAAACTTTTCCTCTTTGCATGCTTCATGCTACCACTCTCCCATAAAACTTTCTGGGTTGATGGAAATGATCTACTCTGTATTGCCCCATATAGTGGCCACTGACCACACTGGCCATTGAGCACATGAAACATAAATAATGAGACTGAAGAAATACATTTTAAACTTGATTTAATTTTGGTTATTTTAAATGTAGGCATGTGTGGCTATTGGCTACTGTATTGGCTAGCAGTTTTGAATAGTGATGTCTCATGCATTGATATCTTCAGCAACTGACAGATGGAATACTTTACTTGATCCACCAATAGGGACTGTGCAAATTAGAAAAAGATAACACCTTTGGTCTCATTCCCTCAGCTCTCAGCTGTGTATCTGCATAAACACCACTTATACACCAGCCTCAATCTTCAGTGCCTCCACACATTTCACACTCAGCAAATGCAATGTAGAAATCATTATTTTTCCTGACACTGCTCTTTTACCTCTGTTGCCTTTCTAAGTTAATGGTATCCCCATCCAAGCTGAAATCCTGATATTTGGACTCAGAAACCTCAGTGCTTTACCATAAACCTCCAATTGCTAACCAAATTGTTAATCCTACCTTTTAAAAGTATCTTAATTTCATGGCTCCTCCTTCGTCCTTAATTCCCTACATCGGTTCACACCGCGTTCTGCCTTGACTGAACTTCTCAATCATTCTTTTGGTTGCTTTTTTTCATTGCCTTTGATTTTCTCTCCTTCCAGGCCACCCTTTGCAGTGGCCTTAACACACGCTATCTGGCCTTGTTAATGTTCTCCTTCCACTTCCTGCAGGACAAAGTCCTAATTCTTTAGCTGTTCAGAAAATTATTCTTGTCTTCCTTTTCAGTTTTAACTCTTGCTATTCCAGCACTATGTCTTTTCTCATTTTTTTCATTTTAACCCTTCCGAGTTTTCAGTTCTCCAGTCACATTGAGCTGTTGGGTGCCTTTTTGCCCTCACACACTATCATTATACTTTAAAAGTTTTCAATTTTGCTTTGTGATATAGTGAACCTTCTATTTCCTTTTCAGGTTAGGCTTCATCTGAAGTCTTTCTCAGCCTTTTCTTGCCGCCCTTACGTACTATACAGCATCTTCTATAGTGTATTTATTATATTATAGTGTTTTAGATTTGTGTGTTTCTTTGATAAGATTGTGAACTTCTTGAGGATCCAAGATGCAGGTCACATTCAGCATGCCTTGCATATTATAAGTAGCACAATAAGAAAAATTGTCATAGCGTTCATGATCACCTTCTTGGTGCTTATTTCCTCCTAAGCTTCTTCAGAGTCTTAATTCCCTTTGTAAGGTAGTAACATATGATCCTGCCTTGGAATGACACATATAATTTCACTTAGGGAAAACTTCCTGAAACCATGAAAGTTTAATAAAATATTTTCAGAGTGGTGAAGTTTTATTTTACTTAAATGAGTGAATATTTACAGTTTAACAAATATGGCTTTGGGCCATGTGTACAAACCACCTAATTATAAAAAGAGACCTAAAAATCAAGATAAAAATAGCCTAATAAAAAGAAAGTGGTGGTGCACTTATAGTTTTCATTTTGACAGCATGAGGGGTTGTTGTTCAAATCAAGGTGACCAGCTAATTTCAGTCTTCACTGAAGGGAGAACAAGAGGGAAATGATTTATAAAGAGGACTGAAGTATTTAGATTAGACTCTATGGAGCATTTCTGGGTGTAGAAGCTTATCAAATATTGAAATTGATAGGCTATATGATCTCCAAAATGCCTTTTACAAATGTCTGATTTTCATTTGTCTGGAGATGCTCAGAAAGGACAGAGGGATCCTATCTGTAGACATTGAAAGAAACTCCATCCTCCTGTGCGGTCCGTCTATAAACTCTCAAGCTATTTTTTTTTCAACGCGAATAATCAGATTTCCTTACATACCTCAATGAAATAAGATGCATCTGCTTTGCTTTGATTACTTTACTCTTTTGATAAATAAAGTTTGGAGAATGAATTGCAATTTTTTTTAACATTGGGTTATAGAACATACATTTGACTAATATGTTTAAATATATATAGACGAAAAGAGAACAGAACATCAAAGATTGTGAAAATGAGACTAAGCCATAACACTTAGGGACTTTCTAAAAAAATTTTCTGGGCATTCTTTATTTTTATTTACAAAATATTTCTATTGTAAATCTGGAATTCAATTATTTTATGTTATAGTTAGCAAATCTTTGATGGGTACTAACTTTGAAGGGTACTAACTATAGACATTAAAGTAAAAACTAACAACTTCATACAAGTCAATGCCAGGAAATGAATGAAGGCTAAGAGAAACAATTACACGGTTCTAACAAACTGTTTCTTAGCAATAAGTATTTTCATAACTCAGACACTCTGCTAGAAAAAAATAAAATTACTTCAGGATGTGCTTTAGTCCAGAAGAAGTATATCTCTTCAGAAAAAGAGAAATAACATTTCAAACATAGATGAACCTTATCTTTCTGAAGTAGATACCGATTATATATAGTATATAAACTAAATTTTTGTAATCATGTACTTTAAATTGAATTACATCAGTAGTATTATATTTTTAAGTTATGTACTTTAAGTCTCATTATATCATTAATCTCAAAATCTACTACCTTTCATTTTGTTCTTCATAACAAAGTTATGAATTATTTTTATAACTACTTTGTTTCCATTTGGTTACATTAGTGCATTTCCATATTTTTTTATTTCTTATAGTGATTCACATGATAGATGATGGTCACATTTACATTCCACATTGTTCTAGAATACTCCCAGGAGGATACCCATGGTTATGCAAAATTCCCAACAGGATAGACCTTTGTGACTCTGTTCTTTTCTGTTACACTCAGGAAGACACACTGGAATGCAAATGAATTAGAATGATGTTATTAAAGAAATAATAATAACCTTGACTCTTTTCTAATATATATGGAAGTAAATCTTTTGCAAACTTATATATGTTACCAAATAGTCACAATATGATACTAGTAGACCATCCAAAAATAATCAAGATAAATCATGTGTGAAGACTCAGCTGTTTAAGACC